ATTGATAGTTACTTTAATTACACCAACAGAAAAAATGTTCCTCTTAAAAAGATGAATTTCACATTTCAATGAAGTAAATGTTGAATAATCTTCAGTTTTTTATAGTCATTAATTTGTCACTAATGTTTTTAATTGACAAATTGCAGGAAATGTCATTAGCTAAAGCTGAATGCTTCCGTCACAGAGAAAAGCCAGCTCATTTCTTTTTATTTTTTTTAACCCTCTAATTTTTCTGATGATATTTTCTAAGTTCGGTATTGAAATGTCCTCTGTATTTTAGGACATAACTACTGAAAGAACTACTGATGTATTACAGTTCTAATTGTTATTATATATTGGCAGCAGATAATCAAAACATGCATGGATTTTTCTTTCTCATTAGTTTTCTTGTCATATCAGTGCTTTTACTTCAAAGTACTTACAAGAAAAGTTAGTAAATGGTAAAAGTTTAAGCAACACTTTATGTGTTCACACTGTCTTTAATTGAGATTCATGTATATGTCGAACACGATCTTTGGTTTTGATGTCATTGCAAAGTCAATGTAACACAATCAAAGTGTTGGAAATTGGGAAATACAAAAGTTTATCTGGTTACTACATTTAGGCTATGCATGTCTAGCACTGGAATTTTAATCATTTTGAACCAAGTCTGTATTTGACTACATTGACCTAAAAGCAAAACTTTATATACAGAATTTTATTAACTGTTTATCACTATAATGTACAGTGAAATTCTCACTTTTCCATACCAGTTAAACCAACATTCAAACCTCAATGTATTTGCAGGTTTGAACACACATATTCTGTTTAAAGTGACAGGAAGAAAAAACAACAGTTGTCTTGCAAATGTTCTTTATTTATAGAGAATGTTATGGGACATGGAGAACATTGTGTGATTAAAAGTTTCACCATCTTGAAACCGGACAATTAATGCAAAATTCAGTTTCAAATTTTAGTTTCAAACGATGAATGTACATTTAATTGGATAATAACACATGTCTTACAAAGGTGTGTTGTCACCTATCCAACATATAAGGACATGACATTAATCCAAAATTGTCTGAAAGTGACAGTAGAAAAAATATTTACAATTTCCACACAAATAGCAGTTTCTGTTTTCTAAATGTTTACATTGGTGACAGTAAAAATCCACTGAATGTGGAGTACTTGTTTCCATTATCACTTATTTTACTCTTGTCCCAGAGGCGGACGTTGACCATGTCTCCTACTTGCAGCAGCAAGATGGCGCTGTTAGAGCCAGAAATGGGGTGATTTTTACTGTAACCGTACCATGACACAACTTGGTTTTCGTTTCGGTAAAGACTTCCTCCAGATGTTCCATCACCCCCCCAACAAAATGAAGAAAAAGAAAAGTAATAAATTCCTCTCACTGGTGCCGTAAAGTATCCTGCAGAGAATAGCAATAAGAAAAGCGATCAGATATTTCTGCTGCAAGAAGAAACCGTCATCTTTTAAGATAATGGAAGAAAACCTGTTGAAAGGATATCTCTTGGATTTTAAAACAATGGCTTTCTATTCAAGGATGTTATTTATTTACTTATTTTTATTTATTTCTAACATAATAGAAGTATAAAAAATAACACATGAACAGGGAATGCAAAAAACACAAAACAATGAAAATGAAAGGGAGTAGGAAGAAGTAAGAAACTTATGAACTCCTATCCCATAAACTAATATTTTTTTCATTATTAAATAATAAAAGATAAGAGATAAAAAGACATAGGTTAATTAATTTTATCTGGGTTTAATTATGTCTGAATATATACATCCACAACCTCTCATAACACACTCGTATGCGTTAGCCTCAACTTACATTCACCATTAGTCCAAACTCCCAGCCATATTTTTACATCTTGTCAAAATGATCTCCTTATATTTCCCTTTAAATTGTATTAAATCTTTTCTTTGTTTTAACTCATCATTTAACTTCTTTCATAATTTAAATTGAAAAACAAAAGCTTTCTTGTTGTTCAGACAAACTGCAAACTATAAATCCTTACGTTATAATCCCTTCACTGGCACAAACATGTTTTGTGTATGTACACATAGCAACAGATGACACAGAGAGACCAACACTGACCTGTCACTGGGCTGTAATGGCCTCCGATGTTGGACAGAACGTGTTTGTATACCAGAGAGTAAAGAACATTCACGGGACCTGTAATGTCTGTTGTTGGCATCGCCGCAGAAAATGCAACCTGGCGTTGTTCTGAAGTTTAAACACAGTGAAGAAAACAGAAAAGTAAGTCAGAAAACATCTTTGCAATTTAGAGAGTGAATGCAGCAGATTAACAGGGATTCTCTCTCAAAGTGTAATTAACTGTTCAACACCAGTAATACTACTGAAGAAAATTAGATATTTTTTTTAACATAAACATAAATGACCCTTTTATAATCATGTATTTATTTTGAAGTATTGAAACAGAAGCAGGATATTATTGATCTAAAGCATGTGCACAACTCACATTGTCTTATAACAAAAGACTAGAGTCTGTAAAGACAAAATAGCTCTAATAATTTATTGTCTTTATATCTATGAGCAACAATAATATTTCAGTGCACATTTAGAGGATAAGATAAATGGGCCATTGAAATTTGCTGTTATGTCAACAAACAATAGAACGAAACAGCTGGAAGCCGCCCTGTTTTTGGCAATATGTAGCAAACAAATTTCTAAAGTGATTTAAAATGAATGTCGTCTTCCGTTACCTTCGTAAGTTCTCCTCATCTCTGTCAGAGTGCTGTTAAGGTCGGCGATCTTCTTTCTCGCTGGCTTCCAGCTTCCTGTTGGTTTCGTCCAGGGCCCTCGCAGTGGCTTTCTGCCTCTCTTGCAGAACTCCAAGCTCCTTCATTACCAAGTAGAAGTTTGGCTCACATGCTTTCTCTGGGGATCCCGAGTTGGATGCTCGACTGTGACTGTCTGAAGATCTTGATCGGGGGTTTTTTGTCCTCTGTGACCGTCTCTGTCAGGGGATTCTCCTGCTCGTCCCCTGTGGTCTCAGGGACCTGAATCTGATTGTCCTCACCTTCTGCCCGGCAGGTGGACAGCCCAACAGCCAGACACATGAGAAGCATCACTGATGGAAACGCCATTCTTCTTTGATATATGTGCGTCTTCTTCAGGAACACTGTTGAAGGCCTGTGAAAAGCGACCTATTTATACACGTTTTTAGTTAATTATTAGATTGTGTTACAATATTAAAGCTTCTTGAATAATAAAAACTGCTTTTACAGAATAAACTTTATACTCTTCCTTATGGCTCTCAGATTTTTTTTCTTCAGACGTTTTATGACTTAATTCAAAGTTCAGAGTCTGCTACTTAATTATACCATATAATATAGTCTAGATATTGAGCACGTGAGCTTCCTGTGTTTATTACTGTGTTTTGCCCAAGGACACAAACAACAAGGGTGGACCAAGCAGGAATAGAACCGATGACCCACCAATTGCAGAGCGAGCACCTGCCACCGAAAGATAAAAACTTTGATTATAGAACAAACGTGAACACCGTATCTGACGGTGTGTCCATGAAAATATTCAATGCAACTTTTAGCGCAACTTTGCATTAAAAGAGTCGTTATTTACCGAGTGACACTTTAAGACAACAGTCACAGACGTTCATAAAGACTCCTTCGTGTTCATGACAGGTGTCATGTCAGTCTTAAGCACACCCCGTCAAATAAAGCGTGACCGCACAAACATCGCGCTTTTCCTAACGGCTCTCCCGGAAGCGTTTTGTTTTTCGTGCATTGATTGACACAGGTCAAGGGGGGAGTGACTGATGGGAGCCACAAACAGGGAAGAATAGATTAGATAAAAGATAAAACAGGCCACAAGTGACCGGAGGAGATAAAGTTCAAAAAATCTGATACATGTTTATAGGCGATAAGAACTAGATAAACAGCTGAAAGTTGAAGTTCACATGGGAAAAGCACACAAGACCCGCTATTCCTCCTGACTTGTGTAAGCGTATGGAGGACCAGAACTGACATGGTAAAAAATAAAAGCATAAACGCATGTCTAAGGACAAGGAAAAACAAGATGTATACTTATGCTCTTATTTCTTATTATGTCAGCTTTGGTCCTCCATATAAGTGAGGCAAGATTGTAGATATTTGGTGAAATGCAGCAGTTCCTCCTACAGTCAAATAGCCCCACAACATGACACAGCCACTGCCGTGCTACTAACTAAGGTTAAACATTTTGAAATGCAACATAGAACAAAAGACATAATTATACCAGGTTGAAGAAGAAGAAGGAAAAAAAAAGGTAGAAGAGCATTTAACTTCCAGAGCTCAGAAATAAACTCAGGTTGATGTATAAATAAACTGTAATGAAGTGAAGTGAGTGTTGCTAGGGTGATGTTTTCCAGCAGGGACATAGCAGCTGGTCAAAGGTCATAGAAAAAAACAATCCGGAGGAAAACGTATGGGAGCCTGGAAGGCCAAATTAGCATGACTATATTTCAACATGTTCCATTAGGTTTTATTGTCTTTTACTTCACTTTTATTTTTTCATTTATTTGTTCTTTTTGCTTATTATTCTAGTGTTTCTTCTTCATATTATTATTATTATTATTATTATTATTATTATTATTATTATTATTATTATTATTATTATTATTATTATTATTATTATTATTACCAGCCTACCGTGGGACTATAGAAAGTAGAAGTTTGGCTGTGATCTTATGTGTTTACATGCACATGTCTAATTTGCATTGTGCCTTTGTTTAAAGTAAACTGAATCATTTCTACCTTAGACTATATCACAGGTCTTGCCTGGTGTGATAAGAAGGAAGAAGCTACGTCTTGTTTTTTCACAGAACAGCCATTTTATTGTTTGGTTTCGGTCCTTCAGCAGAGGAGGGAACCGGGTGAAACCATCCACACATCAACACCACAACACATTTTTTAGAAGGTTTTATTTTCTATTGGAGGAATAGGAATTACTCTGACTGATCGGATGCCTGTCTCGATCAACGACAGGTGGAGATAGACACCAGCTCCCCTGGATGAATGGAGCAAACGTTAATCCAACACAGTGAAAGGTTGTTTTATTTTACTTATTCATCTAATTTTTTCTCGCGTGTAACAACAACATGTTGAAACACAGGAGATGAGACGGCGGCGTGGTGCAGCATTTTTATTCATTAAAATCACATAAATTGAACAAAAACATGATTTACGTCATCAAGTAAGTTAGTTTTTTATGTAATGTTACATTACCTGGTCATAATAGGAGAGGCTATGCAGAAGAAACGAAATCTTAACATCTTCAGAGAGCTACCTGAAGTTTGGTCTAAAAAGACAATTTATACTCCAAGTGATTGTTTGACATAAATGAAAATAAAAATAATTTAACGATTGGAGGACAGAGGGAAAAAGCAGTGCTTAATCCTTAGTACAAAGAAAATTAAACTCTTCAAGGTCATTTTTCTTCCTCCACTGATGATCTCCTCCCGTCCCATGGCACCAGACATGTCACAGTCGTCCATCGGTTCACCTTTGGCCCAGTTCTCATAGATGACCACCTCATCACTGACCCAGAACCAGAAATCCAGAGTGCAGGTGTAGCGCAGACCCATCCAGACATAACCAGTCGATGCCTCCTTGACTTTCTCCTGGATCCATTTCTGTTGATCCATGTTGGTGATGGTGACCAGGTCATGGTGGTGATCTCTGCAGTAGTACAAGGCGTCCTCCCAGTTCTTCTCTCTTGACTAGAATCACGTTATCCTCTGCAAACAAGACTTTAAACACAAAACGTCCCTTCAGCATCAGCATCATTCTGAACCAGATGTAGCGCATGCAAGATTCTAAAAAATAAAGTAAGTGCTTGTGTCTGATTTGAGAAGTCTATGAATTATTAATGCAGCTTTAACATCTCAACAGTGTAAATGCGAGATCAATATTTTAAACAGATTTGCCAAGTGTTGAAGAAAAAGTTTTTTGTTATAAACACTATAAAATAATAAAGACAGGGGTTTGTTTTAGTTTTTTTTTTAGAATTAAAGGGAGATTGAAAGGTATTAAGTAACAGCAGATCTTTCATAAAAACTCACCATCATAACAGATGAAAGGTTTAGTCTCTTCACAGGAGTCAGTCTTCCATCTGTCTCCATATGAAGCCCAGTCATGGCACATCGACCACTGTTGGGTTGATGATCATTAATCTCTAGATTCCAGTGTCTGAAAGAGAAACTGCTTCCATCTGACCACCTCCAGGTGTCTCTGAATAGACCAATGTATGGTTTATAATTTGGGCTCATCACTTCCTTTAGTTCTTCATCCTGTAGTTGCTTCGTTCCACTGATCAGGTCTGTGTGTTTCTCTCTGCAGTAACTCTGAGCTTCCAGCCAGGTCTTTCTCCTCTTCTATCAAGTGATATTTATAGGTCTTATTGGTTTCTAGGAGGTTAACAGAAGAATATTTGCCACCATTCAGATTTTGTTTAGACCAGCATAATATAAGGTAATTGTCAGAGATGCTAATTAATGTGTCTATAAGGTTGAGTTGGATGTTTTTGTTCCACTCTGCCAAATTTGCAAGAAATATTTTTATCAAAATGTAAAAAAAAAAAACAATAACATTTAATCCAGACCCGTTTTATTAGATCACTTACAGATATTACATTCTGGGTTTTATTAGTACTCACCATCATGGCAGAGGAAAGCTCTTTTGTATTGCATCGAAACTTTAATGCCATTGCATCGAATAACTTCCCATTTTATGCCATTCAGAATCCCACAGTTCTCAGATGTATCATTTCCTCGATCAGTCGATTTTCCTTCATCCCAGTTTGTCTCACTTTCATCAAACTCTACTCCAGGCAGAGACCAGTACCATGTTCTGGTACCATGTGTTTGATCATACAGACCAATCCAAGCTTCTCTCTTATCTCTATCTGAGATGTTGATGAGTCTCTTCATGTCCTTCATGTTAGTCACTGTGACCAGGTCAGTGTGTTTCTCTCTGCAGTACTGCTGAGCTTCAGTCCAGGTCTTTTCATTTTTTATGTAATGATACTGATAGAGCTGACAGGTGATGAAACAACACTGACCTACAAAAGCAAAACATAATAGTGTTTTAAATATAAAATAATAACAAAATGGGTAATATCTACCTTATAACATCTCTGCTGAATCTAGCTGAGTCAATAATTTGACAGAAACCAGAGAGTCTAGTTGTGTTTCAGATCAACTTACCCATCAGGAAGAGCAGAATCAGACTCCACTGCATCTTTGCTGTCAGATGAATTATTTTCCTCCAGCAGTTTGTCTCTGTTGGATGAAGAACATTGAAACTGAAAAGCTGCAGCTCTCCCTCCACTGGACAGAGAAACCATGAGAGACCAAGACAGACAGGAGACACTCAACTCAACTTTTTAGTTCATCAACATAGAAATGAAAGAAATAAACTTCTTCAGAGGATTTGGACGTTTCTGAAACTTACATCTGAATCCTTGTTTCCTCAGTTTGTGGGATATCGTCTCTCGAGGTTCAGTTGTGAAAAGCTTCCTCAGTCTGCACTGATGTGTTTCTATAACAGCTCTTGAAACAGCAGATACATTTGAATATGTGAATATTCAAACCAGGTGACGGTCATTTTTATTACAACTGTTCATTAACCAGGCGGAGAAAGAAAAAAATAATAGAGCACAAAAGGACCTGTGTATCTGGAGAAGGATGTAATATGTGCTGTTCTTATAGGGCAGCACGTCTTTTTAACGTCTATTGAAATATTCCCCCATGTTGGACAGTTAGTCCCAGTAAGCTTTTCATCTGAGAACTTTGTGAAAATTCTTGAATTTTTTATCCTGATCTGACTTAGAAACAAACCATATGAATCCTGCAGAAATTTACCACAAAATGAGTTTGTGGTTCCTCAAGCGATGAAGAAAATATGAAAAGACGAAGCAAATCTGACCTTGCATCATCCTTCGCCTCTCCAGTTCTAAAAGACTCTATACTTGGATTTCAGGACAGAGACAGTGTTGTAATTTCCAGCATAAACATTTATGATTCCTGAGAAAGGACCTGAGAATGCAAATCATCCTGAGTAAACAGCAGCAGGCGGGGAACTGTGTTCAGCTGCATAGGAACATGTATTAAGCAAATGAGCTTTGTTCACACAGACCCCACGAAGGCTGCAGAGCAGCTTTTCTGTTCAGAACAAGTCCCACCACTAATCTTGGATGAGACCATTGGTTGTTGTAATGAACTAGTAAATCAATCTCCTCTGTCTCTACTGCTGCTTCCTTGTAAATATATCTGACTGTTTTGTTTTTTTTAAGCTGGGCAGAAAGATGTTGGACTTGGGGAAATGATTCTTGCCCATTACAAAATAATGGAAGAACTTTCACCTTTCCTCTGCTGTGTTTCCCCAAACTCTCATGAAATTTATGATTGTTGTACAGGTGGCAGTAGTTCACTATTTTAACTTTTGAGATGATGATTATCGTCTCCCACTAGTAAAAATAACACCGTTTTGCCGTGGATACGCATCACGGGGAACTGTGCTGTCTCCCTTTCTATTCACCACCTACTTTAAGTACTGCTCCAAAAGGAAAATATGCATTTAAATATGCAATTATTATTGTTGTTATTGTGTGCAGTGCTTTGACAAACCACATTTACTCCCTTTAGGGGATCAAGAAAGTATTATTATTATTATAATAACTGTCGATATTGGTAATTATTGATTAGTCTTTTGTTTTAATTATCCAAAATACAAACAAACTGCTGGTGTGAATTGTCCTATTTTATCCAGCTTTCTCTCCACGTGGTTTTGTTTTTTTTTTATTATTATTATTTTGAACAAGTTATGAGGCAAAGCGGCAAAACAAGAAATTGCTGCTGCGCAACTTCCTCAACTGGTCGTTCCTAGGTAACCAAAGAATGCCTGAGTTGCTAGGTAACCAAAGAATGCCTGAGTTGCTAGGTAACCAAAGAATGCCTGAGTTGCTAGGTAACCAAAGAGAGCAAAGTGGAAGTGCCAAAATGTCTCCTCTGTTTGCATCTCCCAGAATGCTGTTCTGAGTTCACATCCAGAAGCGTCTGTTGTTTTTTTGTGACTCACACTTTTTCCATATCTAGATGTGACTGTGCGGTGAAGCTAAGAATCAAACCAAAAATGAGTGTAACAGACCTATTTTCCTTCATCTTTGGAATGTGATACTGTTTGCTACACTGTCTCTGTTGGTGTACAAGCAGTTTATGTGGATCTTTTTTTTGGGGGGTGGGGGGGGCAATATTTACATAAAATGTGTCTGAATTTAGATTGCAAAAGTATTCACACCCTCACACTCATAAAAACCTGAAAATGATGATTTTCCCTTATAATCATTGTTTGAATATGTAGCGTCTCTGCTGGCTGTCTGTCTGTTTGGGGACTGTTTTGGCCTCCTCTGTGATTTTGCACATTCATATTTGCTTCCAAATGTTTTTCTGTTGGCATTTCGTTAAACCCCTCAAGAGGCTCCGCAGCACAAACACTCAGCGATGATTGAGATCAGCGAGAGAGCTTACGCCGATCAATCAGTCTTTCAATCACTGGCAGACCACCTCCATGGGCTGTGTGTCATCCACCGTCACCGACCGGGTTCTTTGGGTTGTTCAGGTTCTCTGTAGGCATCAGCTGGACTTTTTACTTCTACACTGCTCTTTTTGCCACCATCCATCGGATCCTTTTAAATTCTTCTTCTGGTTAGGTTAGAATTACATTTTGGTTAAAGTTGGTGTTAGGAAAACACTAGTAATGGTGAGGGTTTGTGAAAATGTCTGGGTTAGATATAAATGTAGATACTAAACTTCTAAAAGTAAAAGTCTTACGTTTTTGTAGAAATACAAAAAGGTTTGTGCGTGTGTGTGTGTGTGTGCGTGTGTGCGTGTGTGTGCGTGTGTGTGTGTGTGTGTGTGTGTGTGTGTGTGTGTGTGTGGGTGTGTATCTTTGGTGTTAGAGGTGGTTTTGATGGACCAACCAGAAGAAGTACAGCTCACCAGAAATGTAACTTATGAGTTCAATTAAAGGATACAAATCTACAAATATCTGACAATTCTAAGTGGGAAAGACGAATCCGGTGAATTTGGAAATGTAATAATGAAATTGAATGAAAGGTTTTCTTAACAATACTAGTTTGGACAAAATTATTGGCCTCTTTTTATTCCATCTCCATCTTCCCAATATCTTTCAGTTTAATTTTACAGAATAAAATGTCTCAACATGTGGAAAAATTTTCAAATGATTTATTGAGATCTTATTGTTTTAAATCACAGCAAAGTTTTATGCAAATAATATACAATCTAAATGCAATCTGAAATTCTGCTTAACAGATCATTCCTTGGCAAAATTGAAATAACAACTGAAATGATGCAGAAAGAGAAAAAGCTGATAATAAAAAGAAGAGGAAGAATTATTAATTAGTACAGAAGAAGTTAAATCTCTCGCTGCCGTTTCTTTGGAACCACCGATGCTCTCCTCCTGCCTGCATGGCTCCAAACATGTTGCACTCATCACTCTGACCGTCCCAGACCCAGTTATCACAAACCCAGAACCAAACATCCTGCAGTTGAAACGCAGTCCAATCCAGACAAAAGGAGTCGATGCCTTCTTGGTTTTTTCCTGGGCCTGTTTCTGTTCATCCATGTTGGTGATGGTGACCAGGTCACTGTGGTTCTGTCTGCAGTAGGTCAAGGCCTCATGCCAAGTTTTATTTTCCTTGATCAGGATCAATTTATCTGGCATGAAAGTACATAAAATAAAGAATAAAACTATAAGTCTTCAATCAGAATTAATGCAACAAAAAGAAGTTTCAAAGTATCAAGGACCTTTATTTCACTAAATTTATGTAATAATATAATTAGTTAAACCACCATGATAAGATTCACCATAAGCTTACCAATAATGTAACCTAAAGGTTACATTATTAAAAAATATACGTTTTCTCTAGTAATAAAGTTTATTTTCCTAAATGATGTTTCATTAAGAATGTAGAGTTTTACTACATTACTGCAGCAAAAACTCACCATCATAACAGATGAAGGGTTTTCTTTCAGTGCAGTTCTCATTCTTCCATCTGCCTCCATCATCAAACACAGTCATGACACATTGACCACTATTGATTATCTCATTATTAAACTGTAGATTCCAGTGTCTGAAGGAGGAATTACTGCCATCTGACCACCTCCAGGTGTCTCTGAACAGACCAATGTACATATATTTGTAATACATATATATATATTCATCTAGTGACATGTTGTATAAAGTCATATTCAATGCAGCCTGTAGTTGCTTCGTTCCACTGATCAGGTCTGTGTGTTTCTCTCTGCAGTAACTCTGAGCTTCCCGCCAGGTCTTAAACTCTTCAATCAGGTGATATTTATGGGTTTTATTAGTTTCTGTGGAGTGAACAGATCTGATTATCTTTACATGACTTTTGAGAAGTATTCTCAGAAAAAACATTTAATAAAGAAGCTTTATAGTTTTTCTTTATTTTTTGTAAATATTAATTTGATATGATTGATTCGGTTTTGTTAGTTTTGTGATATGAGTTCTGATTTAAAACTTGAAACGTCTATGACATGTTAAAAAAAGAAATTCTACACAAAACATGATATTTCTTGGATGTGTCAAGTTATGTGGGGCTATTAGAAAACATGGAAAATTACATTCATTAATGGAGGTCTTATAATAAAAATATTTATATTGGATTACAACATTTTTTCCATGAATGTGAAACATTTACCAGGTTTATTATCAAAGATAAATGAAATTTTGATAATAAAAATGTTAAGTTTGTTCTCCATTCAGATGTGTGTGCATTTGTAGATTTAAAAAAAAAGATGTTTTATACTCTACATATATTTTAAAAGATAAATGATATTTCAAACAAAAGACTTCAATCTTACCATCGTAGCAGAGAAAGAATAAGGATATCTACAGTAAACATTTAACCATCTGGTATTCAGCCCCAACATTCCACAGTTGAAATACCAGTCATCCAGTGGTGCTCCTGGTTTCCAGTTTGTCTCACTTTCATTGAACTCCAGTCCAGGCAGAGACCAGTACCATGTTCTGGTACCATTTGTTTGATTATACAGACCAATCCAAGCTTCTCTCTTATCTCCATCTGAGATGTTGATGAGTCTCTTCATGTCCTTCATGTTAGTCACTGTGACCAGGTCAGTGTGTTTCTCTCTGCAGTACTGCTGAGCTTCAGTCCAGTTCTTACTCTCATTAATGTAGTGAAACTCATAGAGCTGACAGTCAATGAAGCAACACTGACCTGTAAACAAAAACATATTTCTGTATTTAGTCCTAACATTTGTTTTGCAAAACCAAAACAAATGTTCTGATTTTAATTTCTGTGTGAAAGGTCGTCCAGATCTCCTCAGGATTTAACTATCAATAAAATAACAGAAACCAGAGAGTCTAGTTGTGTTTCAGATCAATTTACCCATCAGGAAGAGCAGAATCAGACTCCACTGCATCTTTGCTGTCAGATGAATTATTTTCCTCCAGCAGTTTGTCTCTGTTGGATGAAGAACATTGAAACACTGAAAAGCTGCAGCTCTCCCTCCACTGGACAGAGAAACCATGAGAGACCAAGACAGACTGGAGACACACTGCTCAGCCCCTTTCTTTACCCAGAAATACATGACAAAACATGAGTAAAGATGTGAAATGTATCATTTATCCAGTAGAAAAGTTCAGACACAGACTGAACTTGTAACTTACATTCTCTCCGTCTTCAAGCTGTCAGTTAATTATATGTCTTTCCTTCGTAGCAGCCAGAGCTCCACTAGCACAACTCGCTTATTGAATTTAATTTTAAACTTACATCTGAATCCTTGTTTCCTCAGTTTGTGGGATGTCATCTCTCGAGGTTCAGCCATAAAAAGGTTCCTCAGTCTGCACTGATGTGTTTCTATAACAGCTCTTGAAACAGCAGATACATTTGAATATGTGAATATTCAAACCAGGTGACGGGCATTTTCATTACAATAAAAGTATCAAAGATATGTCAAAGGATGTCTTCGTATCATCTTTTTATACTAAGACAGGTCAATTCAGAAAGAGGGAAAAAAATGATTAAATGTAAACACTTCACTGCACAATTCACAAGACAGAACACAGTTCTGTTGAAGAAAATGGACACAACACACAGAAATGAAAGAAAATCCTTAAAATTCAATCCTGCATACATTTCAATTGATCCCAGTTATCAAACAATACAGTAAGGTCAATTTATTATTTATATTGACTCTCAGGATTATATCACTTTCTAACTTTCATCACTCTGAGAATGAGTTTACGTCTATAACTATCATATGATCTTTCTACATCAGGTAAAGAAACTATTTCCAAGATCTTTACAGATGATCACATCATAAGAAATATGACTTTTTAACTCCTTTACTGTCAGTAAAAAAATAAAAATAAAAAAATCCACATTTCACAATATTTTGATCATCATGGAGTTGAAGTTTATGTCATCTGCATTCAGTTTATCGACCGTCTTTTTAACGTCTATTGAAATATTCCCCCATGTTGGACAGTTAGTCCCAGTAAGCTTTTCATCTGAGAACTTAGTGAAAATTCTTGAACTTCTTATCATAATCTGACTTAGAAACAAACCACATGAATCCTGCAGAAATTTACCACAAAATAAGTTTTGTGGTTCCTCAAGCGACTGAAAAAAATATGAAAAGAATTAAACAAACCTGACTTTGTCTCATCCTTCGCCTCTGCAGTTCTAAAAGACTTTATACTTGGATTTCAGGACAGAGACGGTGTTGTAATTTCCAACATAAACATTTATGATTCCTGAGAAAGGACCTGAGAATGCAAATCATCCTGAGTAAACAGCAGCAGGAGGGGAACTGTGTTCAGCTGCATAGGAACATGTATTAAGCAAATGAGCTTGATGCACACAGACCCCACGAAGGCTGCAGAGCAGCTTTTCTGTTCAGAACAAGTCCAACATGCCTCCAGGATAAATCTCTTATGCTGCTGTAAGAGCAATGCAAATAAATCAACAACACAAATGTGTACAAACTTCTGTGAAAACAGTTTTCCCAACCCCTTTTTTTTTTTTTTTTTTTGCCAGTGATTAAGAATTAATCTCTGATTCTAACACATGGTGGAGCTTAAAAAGTCATGTAAACACATCTCAATCAAAACGTTGTTTACTGCTGGTTCTGGAACCGAGACGACCAAACCGCACTGACAGAAGAGCGCCGCAGTTATAGGTGCTTGAAAAAAAAAATACTGTTTTGCTTACCGAGTTAAAATAACAGGATGTGAACACAGTAAGCAAACGCCAGGCGTTCATTTTCATTCTGACTGTCAGATGGTAAATAACCCCACATTAAGCTCCTTATCTGTTGTTGCCTTTATTTCGTTAGCTGACTTCCAGTTTTTGAACTCAATGCTTTTATTTTAGTGGGAGGACTTTTGCCGTTTATGTGTCTATAAGGAAGATATGGATCTGTGGCGATTGTAAATAGCTGAGTGAGTTTAGCTTGATCTGGATGAGAGAAGACTGAGACAGGGACAGCAAGCAAAGCAGCATGGAAAGAATAGATCTCAGAAGAACAAAGCTGAAAACCGGCATGTTTACGTATATGATGAAACATTCAAGTGTGAGGAGAGATACATGTGAAAGTGTCGACCTTATTAAATGTGACTTTAGCGTAAGCTGCTTTGTGTCATCTTTGTGTGGATGCAAATAACTTGCTGCTTTTCTTTCCCAGGTGTTTTTTTTTTTTTTTTCACAACGCTTGTTTCTTCACAGCTTCCCTGATTTGTTTGATTCCAGGAAGCAGAATATGTAACAGTGCAGGTTTCAGGAAATACAAACTATAACCAGGCCTCATTCATAGGTGGCTTGTGTCCAGACGTCGTGCTAGATTTTCTGGATGTTTTATATATATATATATGTGTGTGTGTGTGTTGCTTTCATTATAAAGATATAGATATTTTTTTTCAAAAGAAAAGAAAAAGCTTACAGAGGTCAACAGAGGTCAACCCAGAGTCACATTTACAAAGTCTAATAAATCTGAATGTCAATCAACTCAGGTCCGTTTGTGCAGCAATAATTTTTGTTTTTGCTCCTTCTACTATTGAAGACAGTGACAATGACCTCTGACGACCTCTGGAAACTTTTTTACCAACACCTGTAACAATGATAGCGCCACAAACGAAAACCTTGTCAGCACAAATGTGGCACGCTCATTTGACACCAACTTCCTAAGATTTTGAAGAAGGTGGGAGGGCCAACGTCTCTCTGATCAGCTGAGTTCTCCAAGCCAAACTGAACTCAGTGGAGCACAGAGGCACCTCTACAAATGCATGTGTGTGTGTGTGTGTGTGTGTGTGTGTGTGTGTTCTGTTACTTTATTTCTTGTTGGTTATGAGTCACTTTGTCTACTTTGGTGACTTTAGATTTGGTGTTTATAAGTTTTGTTGCTGTGTTGAATTATGCTAAAGTTGTTGCTGGTTTCTGGTTTTTGATTGGTTCTTTGGACAAATTACACACAGATTAAATACAAACACACTAAGGTCTTCACACATTATTTACTGTGAATTATAATGGCACTCCACTTACAGCCAGAATAACCAAAACAATTAAGATAAGAACATTACATCAGACCAATAAAGGAAAAACATTTTTAACGCAAGGTGTGGTCTTAATGTTTTGTTTTGAAAGATATCAAGAAAATCTGTTTTCCAAGCAAAACTCACATAAAACGTAACATTTAGGCTTATAGTTTGTTGTAAATGATTATATACAAATTTGGATTGTTTAATGCCTTAATTCAACTGAAGCATGTAGCAAAAGGCAAAATTGAAATAAAAGATTTTAATTTTTAGAACAGAAGAAATTAAACGTCTCAGTATCATTTTTCTTCCTCCACTGATGTTTCCCTCCCGTCTCCATGGCTCCAGACATGTCGCAGTCGTCCATTGGTCCATCTGGGGCCCAGTTCTTATAGCTGACCACCTCGTCACTGACCCAGAACCAGAAATCCAGAGTGCAGGTGTAGTGCAGACCCAACCAGACAAAAGGAGTCGATGCATTCTTAACTTTCTCCTGGATCCATCTCTGATCGTCCATGTTGGTGATGGTGACCAGGTCATGGTGGTGATCTCTGCAGTAGTACAAGGCGTCCTCCCAGTTCATCTTTTGTTGATCAAGATCAATTTATCTGTCATAGAAAAGATCAACACAGACATGCTGTAGCTTTCAAAATAATGGCCATGAACTAATTTCACAAGAACAACATTCATGTCTTTGGTCCTAAATCAGAGGTGGTAGAAAAAACTGAAATTGTCCTCAGCAAGAGTAGCACTACTTTAAAACATATTCCTCATGTGAAGTAAAAGGAAAGAAATTCCTCAAAAAGTGTAAAAATCTGATATAAAAGGTGCAAAGCGGCATCTGATATTTATATATATCTATAATGTCTTCAGGCAAAAACATTCAGGTAGGTATAAAACTGTGGTGTTTTAAAGATAAAAAATCATATGAAGAATTTATATTCATAACATAATATTAAAATAATTTTAGGCAAAAACCAAAACAAAACAAAAAGAACCTCAAAAACATTTCAAGTCAGATTTTCTTAACATAAAACTTTTGAATCAAATACTATAACAGTAGTTAAAATATACACATTATATTAAAACAGGCAAAACATATTTCCAGGGACATAATACAGCTTGGGAAAAAAATAAGTAACCTCTGCAAAATGATCAGTTTCTCTGATTTTACTCTTTATAGGTTTATGTTTGAGTAAAATGAACTTTGGTCTTTTATTCTATGAACTCCTGACAACATGTCACTGAAACTCCAAGCAAAACTTTAGTATTATTCAGAGATTAAGTAATGCAAATAAAACAAGTTCATGATCATTTATTAACAACAAAACTGATGTTTTAACTCAAGGATAGTCCAGAAATCAACATTTGGTGGAATAACCAGGAGGTTTTACTGGGGTTCATTAAATCACCTCTGGTAAAAATAAACATTTTGGAGTTTTTCTCAATGCACAGAAATTATCTATGAAATAACTGAATTAACACGTAAAATTAGAAATTGCACAGTTCAGTTTTTAACATCAACTCACCATCATAACAGATGAAGGGTTTTTTCTCATCACATTTCTCATTCCTCCATCTGCCTCCATCATCAAACACAGTCAAGGCACATTGACCACTATTGATTATCTGATTGTAAAACTGTAGATTCCAGTGTCTGAAAGAGAAACTGCTTCCATCTGACCACCTCCAGGTGTCTCTGAACAGACCAATAAATGATTTACTCCATGTAGTCTTCATCACTTCCTTTAGTTCTTCATCCTGTAGTTGCTTCGTTCCACTGATCAGGTCTGTGTGTTTCTCTCTGCAGTAACTCTGAGCTTCCAGCCAAGACTTCTCCTCTCTAATCAAATGATATTTATGGGTTGTGTTGGTTTCTGTGGAGTAATCAAACACATTTATATTCATCTTATTCGGACAGAATGCACATAAAAATAATTGATTAATAGATTAATCTCACCATTGTAGCAGAGGAAATTATATTTATGTTGGCACAGGATGTCAATCCATTTGATATCTTTATTCACAATCACACAGTTCTCAGATCCTTGGTGTCCTCCATCATTTGGTTCTTCTGGTGCCCAGTTTGTTTCATTTTCATTTAACTCCAGTCCAGGCAGAGACCAGTACCATGTTCTGGTACCATGTGTTTGATTATACAGACCAATCCAAGCTTCTTTCTTATTTCCATCTGCGATTCTGATGAGTCTCTTCATGTCCTTCATGTTAGTCACTGTGACCAGGTCAGTGTGTTTCTCTCTGCAGTACTGCTGAGCTTCAGTCCAGTTCTTTGCCTCTTTAATGTAGTGAAACTCATAGAGCTGACAGTCAATGAAGCAACACTGAGCTGAAAACAAAAAAATATGTTTTTGTATTTAGTCCTAAAAAAGATTAAAAAATTTTGTCTTTGCAAAACCAAAATAAATGTTCTAATTCTATTTTCTGTGTGAAAGGTCGTCCAGATCTCCTCAGGATTTAACTATCAGTAACTTAACAGAGACCAGAGAGTCTGGTTGTGTTTCAGATCAACTTACCCATCAGGAAGAGCAGAATCAGACTCCACTGCATCTTTGCTGTCAGATGAATTATTTTCCTCCAGCAGTTTGTCTCTGTTGGATGAAGAACATTGAAATACTGAAAAGCTGCAGCTCTCCCTCCACTGGACAGAGAAACCATGAGAGACCAAGACAGACAGGAGACACTCTGCTCAGCCCCTTTCTTTACCCAGAAATACATGACAAAACATGAGTAAAGATGTGAAATGTATCATTTATCCAGTAGAAAAGTTCAGACACAGACTGAACTTGTAACTTACATTCTCTCCGTCTTCAAGCTGTCAGTTAATTATATGTCTTTCCTTCGTAGCAGCCAGAGCTCCACTAGCACAACTCGCTTATTGAATTTAATTTAACCATTTCATCATTTGGATATTTAAACTTCGCGTGCAGCAGGGTGTGGCTCGTGGCATTCTGCTCATGAAAGAAGTCTTTCCTGCTCTGCTCTGATGCTGCTGGGCTTCCGGCCATGAAGGACGGGTTGGTGATCCCACAATGCATTGCTCCAGCATATGTTTTTGTTTCAAGGGGAAAAGTTTCGCAGCGTGGAAAGCGACGGCACGTAACAAAATGGAGACCCCAAACCCGTCCACCAAACTCTGCCATGACATTATAAATTATACTGACCGTTCTTTCTTTCTAGTTCTAATTCCTCTGTTTTCATCCACAGATGCAACCCAGACCAAGGGATATGATTATTTGCTTCACAATCTTATCAAATAAATTCTCACCTTTTCTCAGTTTTGTCTCCTTTACTGTCTGTGGCTCAGAACGTGACGAGATGTTTGATCTTTCTTCTCTCCATCAGCCTCTTTCAGCCGAGGCACTTTTAGCTTCTGTGGAAAACTGGATGCTTGACGTAGTTTGAGATCTGCTGGGAACTGGACGTGTAACATCACCCAGATGCAAATAATGATAGCAAAGCCTTCTGTTCTCAAGCAGGAAGTTGTTTTTTTTTCTCAATGCAAAACTATCAGATCAGGGAAAGGCTGGGAACTTTTTTTTTCCCTTTGGTATTAATTTCATATTCAAATTTTAAGTCTCATAGTGTTTAGTGAGTCTCAGCATCATTTATTCCTCTTAAACGTCCCTATTTTACGCCAAAATTCAAGTCAACGTGACATGATTTTATTCAGCTTGTATTTCAGAACAGGCTGAAGGTGATTTTGTGCCAGTTTGGACATTCGGACGCAGAAGACATCAAAAGAGTCCGGTTTGGAGACAACGTAGTCATGACTGGTCGTCTGCTGTCCGGGTTGATTTGTAAAGCGGGTTTTAACTTTGACCAAATGACGCCACTGAAAGAAGCTTTTCCTCACTGCAGACTCAGCTGGATTTTCAGTGTCAAATCCCAGCCAAAGTTTAAATGTTTTTCTTTATATTAAACTCAACGCACCAACATCTGTGGTAGTCTTCCTGCCAAATATTCAGCCGCCTGTTAGCTTAGAAATGAAAAAACCTTCTGGCCCAAACACAGTTCGACAGCTCTAATGCAATCCAGTACTCAACAGAGCGCATTGGCAGCCAGGCCACAGAGTCAACTGGTGCTGAGTTGGAGTTGCTCAACATGGCAACATATAAGTTTAAAACAACATTGGTTTTATTTTCTTTAATCAAGGTCATGCTGTCTGTCATTGAAGTAAAGAAGAAAAAATATCGAGGATTCACACCTTAATTCATGTAGAGTAAAGTGCTTTGGAGTCCTCTGGACTAGATGAAGCTCCATATGAACACAAGCAAATCACCATGTACCATTTTTTAAACGGATGAAATTCAGTTCCTCTGTGTCATTCCTCTGGAACCGCCTGTGTTGTCCTTTCGCCTTCATGGCTCCAGACACGTCACAGACACTCATCTGTCCGTCTGAGGTCCGGCTTTATTTGTGCTGGTGTTCGGAAGTTATGGCTCCTGACTTTTCTTTGAACAAATCTCCATTCATCCATCTAATGTTTTTTCACCAGACTCAACAGAGAGGCCCAGAGTTCCCTCTACCCAGCCACTTGGACAAGCTCCTCTGGGGGAATCCCAAGGTCCACTGGGTAATACTGCGTTCACGTGTCAAAAACACATCCGATGCTTTGAGTCGGACAAGCGCATCAAAATTGTGCCAGACGTGCATTCGCACGGACTGTTGTTTTTTGTTGACAGAGAGGCACCGAGTTGTCGAAGGTTTTTCGCAAACACGACGGGTGTTCAGACGTCTGTGCTGAACATTGTTCAGTTTCTATCGAGCAAACAATTGCCCCCAGCTGACAACAGCACGACGCACATTGCCTTTGTTCTTCTCCCGATGACTGAACAACGGCAGACGAAATATTGAGAGAGTGTCTTGGCTTTACGTACTGAAAGCAGCAGAATGCAGCTGTCAGCCCGTGTTTGAATTTACCAGATGACTCAGAGGTGTCGGGAGTTTGCCGAGTTCACTCCCTTCCCTCGCTGGTCGCTGACGAGGGTCGCTAGCGCTGTTTTCCTCTCGCCCAGTTTGACGACCTCTTGACCTGCTTCTGCGCCTTTATCTCCTGGTAGAACAGCAGCTGCAAGTCACTGCGTCACATCGCAAAAAAAATGTTCCAATTTTGCTTTTCAGCATGAGTCACGCCTGAATGTTCAAAACGATCAAAACTCTCTAAACACTTCAGCAGCACAGAGTCGGACGCATGAAACGTAGCGTGACATGCCCAAGACATGAAACTGGATAGACTTTGAATATCAACCAGATGCCACTGATGCTCAGATTGGTCTAAATGCAGCTTAGCAATTCCAACAGTGTGACCTTGACCTTTTAAACTCTTCATATCAGGGTTTGAAAATGCTCAGGAGAGCCAAACACACCAGACAAGGAAAAAATAGTAAAAAAAAAAAAAAAATCTATAAATCTCATTAAGACAAAAAAAAAAAAACTAAGCGAAGAAAACTTATATGTATTTCCATTTCTCCACAACAAATTAGATTTTTTTTATACTTTTCCCTCAGAGTTTTCCGTCAAATGGCTCGTTTAACAAAGAGATTTTGTCACTGCGGAGCAGCTGAAATAGAATTTTCCATTGATTTGAATATTCAAATCGGGGAGTTCTGAGTTTTAGAAAAACACATTTCTGTAAAAAAAAAAAAGCAAAAAATAATTTCATAATGTTGAGCCAAACTTTTGACTGAGAAAACTTTGATGTTGCTTTATTGAAACCTTGTTAGAGCAAAAACCTGACGACTTTGAGAGAGAAGTCAGTCATTTCTGCCGTCAGTCGATGCACAATGGATCCAGTGATGAAGTTCGAACATTTCCAGGAAGTGAAAACATGCTATGTGAACCGGTTTGACTCCAAGCAGGAAGTTGTTTTTATTTCATTTTAGTACTGGTAAAAAAAAATAATTAAAAACTTGTGACACATTAAAAAGGTTTTTAATTTATCTTCATATTTTTGTTATTATTGACATAAAGAAAAGCCATATTTATTTTCAACACTTTTAAGGTAATTTTTTTTTTACGTCATCATATCTCTGGTACTGATCTGATGAATGGGGCGGAGCAAAAACGAACGTTTGGTCGTGGCAACATGATGGACAGAGCGTCCCAGATGGACGACATGTCTGCTCACATCATGTCGCTTTCATGAGACGTTTGACCAGCTTTCAGCTTTAGGCTTCATCTAAATTATATTTACATGAAAAGTTTAGTGAACAAGAATAAATTCCTGACACATCCAAATGTTTTAGCGGGGAGTCGACTCCAGGATTCCTGGACTCCTGGACTTGTTAAAAGCGGTCAGTTCAACCTAAACCAGTCTAACTTTAAGCTTCATCACAAAGGATGCTGATGATGTTTGACTCACAGACTAAAACCAGCATAGATAAGAAGAAAAGACAAAGAAAACGTCTTCAAACTCAACAGCTTTTATTGTTTTATAACAACGTTATAGTAAAGCATTAGTGTGACTGTAAATCCATTTAAAACAGTGATAATAAACTGAACAGCATTTTTCATACTTAACAACTAAAACAAGATTACACAACCTGTCAGGATTTATATAAAGAATAAAGAAGTTCTAGTTAACCCACCACACACTTACTGATTACTGAATGTAATATAATAATATAATAACTCAAAGTGAATGAAATACAAACTATGTTCTGTTAGTTTAGATAAGAATAGATGTTGAATTAAAAGAATAAATCACCCTATAGAATAATTATAGTTGCTGTGGTTTGGTAGCACTATTAGCTTTATAATATCAATAAATCAGTTGTATTTTCTATATAATCCTAAATACGTTTGTAAAAATGTAAAAGTGACTTGCAGCCAAACAGCACTTTGAAAAACAAAAAAGAACTTAAAGATAGATTTAATCCTTCAAACAAATAACCCAGTAATATTTACTTCACAGGAACCAAAGTATGTTTTTTGAAATTTTACATGTAACTTTGGGCACAAAACACTCAAAAGCTAAAGGCTTCCGTCTCAATATTTAGAACAGATGAAATTAAGCTTCTCGTCATCATTTCTTCTGAACCACTTATGTCCTCCTCTCGTCTCCATGGCTCCAGACACGTCACAGTCGTCCATCGGTTCAGATTCGGCCCAGTTCTCGTAGCTGACCTCCTCGTCACTGACCCAGATCCAGAATTGTAGGGTCCAAGCGTAGTGCAGACCCATCCAGACATAATCAGTCGATGCGTTCTTGACTTTCTCCTGGATCCATCTCTGATCGTCCATGTTGGTGATGGTGACCAGGTCATCATGATGATCTCTGCAGTAGGTCAAGGCCTCATGCCAGGTTTTATTTTCTTTGATCAGGATCACTTTATCTGGCATGGTGTTGACAGGAAAACAGTTCACATCATTTATTCATGTTACTTCACAGAAAAAGGTGATGAAAAATATATCTTTGGTTCCAGGGCAACATTTTCATATTCTAAAACAATTTTTTTCATTAGACGTGTGGATGCAGGTGATTTGAGTTACACACAAATACATTGACAAAAGCCAATGTAGAAAATATGTTAATAGACCCAAATCTGATTTCTTACATGACTTTTGACAGTAACCACCTTAAATGGGACAAAAGCATTACTCACCATCATAACAGATGAAGGGTTTTCTTTCATCACAGTTCTCATTCCTCCATCTGCTTCCATCATCAAACACAGTCATGGCACATTGACCACTGTTGGATTCTGAATTGTTAAAGTCTTTTTTCCAGTGTCTGAAATAGAAACTGCTTCCATCTGACCACCTCCAGTTGTCTCTGAACAGACCAAAGTATGCTTTATTATCTGAAGAGTTCATCAATTTCTTCACTTCTTCATCCTGTAGTTGCTTCATTCCACTGATCAGGTCTGTGTGATTCTCTCTGCAGTAACTCTGAGCTTCTGTCCAGGTCTTCTTGTCTTTAATTAAGAGGTATTTGTTGGTTGTGTTAGTTTCTGTGGAGTGAACAGAAAACATACATTTTTATAAATATTTTGAAGATAAACACAAAATCAGGTTCACTGGCAGACACATTGAAAATAACCATTCCTATTTTTTGTGAGTGAAATTGATACTTTAATTTATTTTTTTTTACAAAACATTTTATCCAGATTGTTTTTTGAGACAATCTATAGATTTTAGATTCAGTGTTCTTTTGTACTACTCACCATCGTAGCAGAGGAAATATTCTGGCCACTTGCAACCCTGATCGAGCCATTTAAGATTTTGATATACAATCCCACAGTTCTCAGATCCTTGGTTTCCTTTATCAGTCGGTTCATTTGGTGCCCAGTTTGTCTCACTTTCATTGAACTCCAGTCCAGGCAGAGACCAGTACCATGTTCTGGTACCATTTGTTTGATTATACACACCAATCCAAGCTCCCTTTATATCTCCATCTGAGATGTTGATGAGTCTCTTCATGTCCTTCATGTTAGTCACTGTGACCAGGTCAGTGTGTTTCTCTCTGCAGTACTGCTGAGCTTCAGTCCAGGTTTTATTCTCATTAATGTAGTGAAACTCATAGAGCTGACAGTCAATGAAGCAACACTGAGCTGTGAACATAAACAATGGTGGTATTAAATTAGGAGGATTTAATCAATAGATAATATTGGCTAAAAGTTTCAATACAATATGTTTAGAATTTTTATTGACGTTTCTGCTTGATTCTAAAGAAGTAACTTTATTTCCTCGTAGTCTAGTTGTGTTTCAGACCAACTTACCCATCAGGAAGAGCAGAATCAGACTCCACTGCATCTTTGCTGTCAGATGAATTATTTTCCTCCAGCAGTTTGTCTCTGTTGGATGAAGAACATTGAAACAGTGAAAAGCTGCAGCTCTCCCTCCACTGGACAGAGAAACCATGAGAGACCAAGACAGGAAACAAAACCCAAAACATTTCTCCATGCAAACATAAAACTCCAACATAACAATTTAACTAAGAAAAAAAAAATGCAATAATAGGACTAAAATCTAAGCATACAGAGTGAACAAAATCCTACATGTAGTTCCTTCACTTCACAATAAATTGCATGAGATTTTCATCTTTATTCCAAAGTCCTTTGTCACATGGTGATGTGAACCACCCCTAACTTCACAACCAGTACGATAAACCTAGTTCAATTATACTGATTGTTAATTTTCTTTTCTTTTTTTTTTTTGGTTTGTTCTAACTACTTTGCTTTCCAACACAGATGCAACACAGACCAAGGAATGCTTATTACTGAAAATGATCATGATTGATAACAATCTTATCAAAAAAATTCTTACCTTTTCTGAGTTTTGCCTCCTTTACTCTCTGTGGGTCAAACGTGATGAGATGTACGATCCTTCTTCTCTAAATCGACCTCCGTCAGCCAAGTCACTTTTAGTCTCTGTGGAAAACTGCGTGTGTTCGACGTGTTTTCAGAGCTTTCCCGATAACAGGAAATCTCAACGCAGATGCAAATAATTGTAGCAGATCCCTCTGTTCTCAACCAGGAAGTTGTTTTTTTCCCAGATGCAAAAGTTCAAGGGACAGTCCAGACGCTTTTCCCCTTTCTATTAATTTAGTTTTCTATTTTTAAGTTTCACAGTGTACGATGTGTTTGTGAATATTAAATTTGATGGGATGCTGTGGTGACCCTTACGGTCAATAATCAGTACAGCAGTCCTCAGTAAGTGGGTATTGAGGTCTTAGTCCTCTTGGCGGGGGTCGCAGGTTCAATTCCCGTCTGCCAACATTGTCCGCATGTCGTCCCCTCTCTCTGTCATTAATCTGTTTCCTGTCAAACTACTTTCAAACAAAGGCCACTCGAGTCAACAAAACCTTTAAAACATTAAACTTGATGGGTGTATTCTTTCAAGACAAAAACAACATGGCCATACTTTACTGAAAATTCATTTTGAGCATCAGAAGTTACATTGTATTCTCTTTGAAATGTCCTCGTGAAAGGACAGTTTCAGAATAAATGACTCGATGCTGTTCCGCAAAACGTACATTTGGTGTCTGTTGTTTAAGATATTTCGATATGAATTGATTGTCGGGATTAATTACATGTAACAGTTCGAATAAGCGCGGTGTCATGTGATGTCGTTAATAGAGAGGCGTCACAGCCAATCAGAACGCCGGAGCAGAAGCAGCTTCTGTGAGAAGACGAAAGCGTTAAATTGATATTTGCAATGACAGAAATCGTGCAAATTGGAGAGCAGTAGGAGAAAAAAGTGAGAAAAAAGCGTTCAGTTCAACCTAAGCCAGTCTAACTTTAGGCTTCATCACAAAGGAAAGTTGAAGCCTGATGCTGGTGATGTTTGACTCACAGACTAAAACCAGCATAGATAAGAAGAAAAGACAAAGAAAACGTCTTCAAACTCAACAGCTTTTATTGTTTTATAACAACGTTATAGTAAAGAATTAGTGTGACTGTAAATCCATTTAAAACAGTGATAATAAACTGAACAGCATTTTTCATACTTAACAGCTAAAACAAGATTACACAACCTGTCAGGATTTATATAAAGAATAAACAAGTTCTAGTTAACCCACCACACACTTACTGATTAATGAATGTGATATAATAATATAATAACTCAAAGTGAATGAAATACAAACTATGTTCAAGAACAATAGAATCACCCTATAGAATGATTATAGTTTGTGAAACTTGGTAGAAATATTAGATTATATAAGAGTTGTGGGTTTTTTATATAATCCTAAATATGTTTGTGAAAGTTTAAAAATAACTTGCTGCAAAACAGCACTTTGAAAAACAATAATAAAAAATAAAATTTAAAGCAAATTTAATCCCTCAAACAAATGACCCCAAAATATTTAATTTGCATAATTCGACATACACACTCTGAAAAAACGAAGAGCCACTTAACCCTCCTCTTGTCTCGGGGTCATTTTGACCCAAGACAAGAGGAGGTTGTTCTTATTTTTTTCGTCAAGTTCACATTGAATTGCTGCAGCAGAAAATTCCATCTGAGTTGTGAACACTGTAGGTCTGATTCAGGACTGTTAGATTTTCAAGTTCTGTATGCAGTTGTAATTAAAAAAATGTTTTACAAGGGCTTGTCCTCGGGTCATGTCAACCCGGGGGCAACAGGAGGGGGGGGAAATTTGAAAATATCAGTTTTACGGAGATCAGTGATGCCATTCCATACTGTTTGCCTGTCCAGCTGTGATTTCCTTAGTCTTCCGGTCAGTCTGACCTGAGGCCTGGGTTTGGTTATCTTTATTTCTTTTGTAAAGTTCACATTTGGATTGCTTGAGCCTAAACTTCCCCCTGAGTTGTGCACACCATAGTTCTGATGCAGGACTGTTAGATTAAAGTTTCTGTATGCAGCTGCAATTGAAAAACATATTTTTTAAGGGCTTGTCCTCGGTCGACATAAGCCGAGGACAACAGGAGGGTTAAAAGGACCAGATTCTCTGATGTTACTATATGTTTGAGTAAAATGAACATTGTTCTTTCTATTCTACAAACTACTGACAACATGTCTCTGAAACTCCAAGTGAAAATTTCGTGCTTATCTGCAGAAAATGAAAAAAAGGTCAAAAATAATGAAAAAGATGCAGAGATTTCAGACCTCAAATGATACAAAGGAAACGAGTTCATGTTCATTTAGAAACAACAAATCAAATATTTTAACTCAGGAAGAAATTCGAGATCAATATTTGGTGGAGCTTTTCGATGGGGTTCAGTGCAGTGGACTCTTCATTCTTTCCAGTCGTCTCATTATTTAGAGCAGACGAAATTAAATGTCTCACTGTCTTTTTTTTCCAGCCACCTATGTCCTCTTCTGGTCTCCATGGCTCCAGACACGTCACAGTCGTTTCCCTGGGGACATGAGGCCCAGTTCTCGAAGCTGACCTCCTCGTCACTGACCCAGACCCAGAAATGTAGGGTCCAGGTGTAGTGCAGACCCAACCAGACGAAAGGAGTCGATGCGTTCTTGACTTTCTGCTGGATCCATCTCTGATCATCCATGTTGGTGATGGTGACCAGGTCATGGTGGTTCTGTCTGCAGTAGTTCAAGGCGTCCTCCCAGGATTTATTTTCTTTGATCAGGATCACTTTATCTGTCACGGTATTGAGGGGAAAATAACTAATTAATTCATTCATTTATTTATTTATTAAACAGAAAAAGATGGGAAAAAAGTATCTTTTGTTCCAGATGAACATTTCCAACTCCATCTTTTAAATAGACATGTGGATATATACACTTGTATATCATAAATTAATGAATATTTTCCACACACATTGACAAAACTGTACATAGAAAATATGTTAATATATTCAAATCTGATTTCTTACATTTGACGTGAATATTCTGTTATGAATAAAAAGAACAACTCACCAGAATAACAGATGAAGGGTTTTTTCTCATCACAGTTCTCATTCTTCCATCTGCCTCCGTCCTCAAACACAGTTGTGGCACATTGACCACTGTTGGGTTGATTATTGTTAAAATCATTATTCCAGTTTCTGAAAGAGAAACTGCTTCCATCTGACCACCTCCAGGTGTCTCTGAACAGACCGAAGAATGGTTTTCTGTGTGTGGACTTCATCACTTCCTCCAGTTCTCCATCCAGCAGTTGGTTCATTCCACTCATCAGGTCTGTGTGTTTCTCTCTGCAGTAACTCTGAGCTTCCTGCCAGGTCTTCAACTCTTCAATCAGGTGATATTTATGGGTTGTGTTGGTTTCTGTGGAGCATTTTATCATGACATATGTATTTTTTGGGGGGATTTGCTTTATTTAGAAAGAAGAACAAACTTTCACAGTGTGTGAATTCTCACCATTGTAGCAGAGGAAATATCTTTGGATGGAGCAACTCGCATATCCCCTTGTAGAAGTATTTACCAACAACCCACAATTCTCCTGTTTTCCACAATCATATGTTCCTCCTGGGTTCAAGTTTGAGTCGTCGTCACTGAACTCCTCTCCAGGCAGAGACCAGAACCCAGTTCTGGTACCATGTGTTTGATCATACAGACCAATCCAAGCTTCTGTCTGATATCCAACTGAGATGTTGATGAGTCTCTCCATGTCTGTCATGTTAGTCACTGTGGCCAGGTCAGTGTGTTTCTCTCTGCAGTACTGCTGAGCTTCAGTCCAGGTTTTATTCTCATTAATGTAGTGAAACTCATAGAGCTGACAGTCAATGAAGCAACACTGAGCTGTAAAGATAAAATGTAATTCTGCACGTTTTACTCATCAATAACATATCCACCAGTGTTTGTAGAAAAACTCTTTGTGATGAATTTGAATCCGTTGTGTTTCAGATCAACTTACCCATCAGGAAGAGCAGAATCAGACTCCACTGCATCTTTGCTGTCAGATGAATTATTTTCCTCCAGCAGTTTGTCTCTGTTGGATGAAGAACATTGAAACAGTGAAAAGCTGCAGCTCTCCCTCCACTGGACAGAGAAACCATGAGAGACCAAGACAGACAGGAAACAGGGAAAAAAGACTATTCTCAAATGGGAGCATGCTGACATCATGTTCAAAATAAAAACATAATCTCGAAGAATTAGCAACATTAATTTCAGGGACCTGAAACTTACATCTGTTTCCTTTTTGTCCCTCAGTGAGTTGATGCTCTTCTCTTGATCCTCTGCTGAAAACTGCCTGAGGTGAGCCGCGTGCATCATTTCTGAAGGGAAGCTGACTTTTCCCGTTTCATAATTTAAATATTCAAGCACGACAGGGACAATTTTGACAAGCAAGCCATTCATAAGGAGAAGAATAAACAAGTAGACGAACCGAAAACACGCAACACTTTTATGTAAGATATGCAAACACACTCCTAAAAAAAACAGATCTCTGTTCAGTATTGCATGTCAAAGCTGCACCGATGGTGTTCTATTACCCAGCTGATTTTGTTTTTGCCATGGTAGTTATTTGCCTTTTAAATAACCTCCATGTTTTTTTTTGTTTTGTTTTTTTCAAATAAAAATTCCTCGCAGAGCAAACTAGTCGCATGCTACAAAAGGTAAAGCGTAAAAAATAGTATTAACGAAAAATACACACACAACTTAAATTACAGGAAGACTCGTCACTGAAATGTTTTAAGCATCTTATTTATGACCTTTTCTCATGTTTGATTTGTAGCTACAGTCTGATGGAAGTGAGGTCGCTTTATTTGCACCGTCATCCCTGATTGCCCAAGGACGCAACAAGCGGGAATCGAACCGGTGACGGACCGCCTGCCACTGTCGCTACCGATGTCAGACTGTTTGTTGTCTCTGTCAGAATAATGAACATTTTTAATTGCGTTCATCCTCCAGTCACCAGGTGGCAGCAGTGTTCGGACTGGTCAACAGCGCAGTGGAAGACGTCCTCGGTGTGCACCGGTGTACAGACTGGAGACGAGATGGAGGAGACTGTGACGGTCAAAAGAAACATGGCGGAGGCTGGCTGGGCTTCACACTCGTGTACACGCTGCTACCCCTGCTAATGAGGTAGAAATAATTTACCGTTGCGGGGAAATGTGCTCAAGCTAGGTGGCCACGCTAGCTGGCTTGAGCATCCCAGTGGCAGGACGTTAAGCAGAAGCTAAAAAGAGGAGAAGCTGCAAAATGCAAACTCAAACAGTGACCTAAAACCAAAAGCAGGAAATTTCTAATTAAAATATCACGTCGCGTGTGATTCAGCCTCGGACTCCTAATCCGAGGCTGATTAAAAAGTCAATCGATCGTGTTGGATCTGGGTCAGACTCATTATCTGTCAAATTATCAAAACTCAAGCACAGATTTTCCCCTCCAGATGCAGGAAGTTGTGAGGCTGCGGCGTTCACAGCTGGGGAAGCGCTCATAATTTAGGGAGATAAAATTATCATTCATAACTACATATTATTACAAAAAATATTATTGCAAGTAATAATATGCAGTTATTAGTTGGGTCACACTTTTTTGTCCCTGTAGAGAAAATGTGTTCATGTGTTGACGAATATTAATCAACCCGAATAAAATTTAATGCAACTTAATAGTCTGTTAATGTCAATATTATTATTCACAAATTGATGGGTAAAAATATGATGTGACGGAAAATCTTCAGTCAAAATGACAAAAAACAATAAGAGTTAATTGCGACCTCACGCTAAGACCCTCTTCTCTGCTTTGATTGGTTGGTTCTGACACAGTGGATTACAATTTTGGATTACAGTGTGATAAAATAAATTGGCATTGGATGCATTTAAATCACCTATGCACGTTACATTCAGGGTCATCATGTAATTTATAGTCCAAAATGTGTTTGTAAGAATTCAAAAGTAGCGTGCAGCAAGAAAGCGCTTTGCGTTACAAGAAACAAGCTGTTTTAATTCTTAGAACAGACGAAATTAAACGTCTCACTGTCTTTTTTTTCCAGCCACTTATGTCCTCTCCCGTCTCCATGGCTCCAGACACGTCACAGACGTTTCTCAGGGGACATGAGGCCCAGTTCTCGAAGCTGACCTCCTCGTCACTGACCCAGACCCAGAACTGTAGGGTCCAGGTGTAGTGGAGACCCAACCAGACGAAAGGAGTCGATGCGTTCTTGACTTTCTCCTGGATCCATATCTGATCCCCCATGTTGGTGATGGTGACCAGGTCATGGTGGTTCTGTCTGCAGTAGTTCAAGGCCTCATGCCAGGTTTTATTTTCTTTGATCAGGATCACTTTATCTGGCATGGTGTTGACAGGAAAACATCATTTATTTATGTTACTTCACATGAATAAAGCTTTGATCACGAAACACTGAACACAGACTTTCAGTTTCATGAAACCGAAAAAGGTGAAAAAAATGCACCTTTGGTTCCAGACAAACATTTTCAAATTATGTGTTTTTTAACCAGACGTGTAGACGAAGAGAATTAATAAATACTTTCGAGAAACATTAACACTGTTTTTACGTAGGACATACGTTCATATATTCAAATCTGATTTCGTACATAACTTTTGATATAAACGTTCGTGTATATACAGAAAAGCATTACTGACCATCATAACAGATGAAGGGTTTTATCTCACTACAATCCACATTCATCCATCTGCCTTTATCATCAAACTTAGTTGTGGCACATTGAGCTCTGATGGTTTGTTCATCATTAAACTGTAGATTCCAATGTCTGAAAGAGAAACTGCTTCCATCTGACCACCTCCAGGTGTCTCTGAACAGACCAATAAATGATTTACTCCCTGTAGTCTTCATCACTTCCTTTAGTTCTTCATCCTGTAGTTGCTTCGTTCCACTGATCAGGTCTGTGTGTTTCTCTCTGCAGTAACTCTGAGCTTCCTGCCAGGACTTCTTCTCTCTAATCAGGTGATATTTATGGGTTGTGTTGGTTTCTGCGAAGAAATTAGATAAACTCGCATCACATATACATTCCTCAAGCTTCTATATGTCATTTAGAATATAAAACAAAGCATCTATAGAAACCATATGATTATGTAAAGAAAAAATAAAAAGCACAACCAGTCATGTATTCTCACCATTGTAGCAGAGGAAATATCTTGCTATAGAGCAACTCACATTTCCCCATTTGGGAGTTTCAATCAGATTCCCACAGTTCTCTATTCCATTATCAGTCGGTTCTCCTGGGTTCAAGTTTGTCTCACTTTCATTGAACTCCACTCCAGGCAGAGACCAGTACCATGTTCTGGTACCATGTGTTTGATTATACAGACCAATCCAAGCTTCCTTTATATCTCCATCTGACATGTTGATGAGTCTCTCCATGTCCTTCATGTTAGTCACTGTGACCAGGTCAGTATGTTTCTCTCTGCAGTACTGCTGAGCTTCAGTCCAGGTTTTATTCTCATTAATGTAGTGAAACTCATAGAGCTGACAGTCAATGAAGCAAAACTGAGCTGTAAACATAAAATGTAATTCTGCACGTTTTACTCATCAATAACATATCCACCAGTGTTTGTAGAAAAACTCTTTGTGATGAATTTGAATCCGTTGTGTTTCAGATCAACTTACCCATCAGGAAGAGCAGAATCAGACTCCACTGCATCTTTGCTGTCAGATGAATTATTTCCCTCCAGCAGTTTGTCTCTGTTGGATGAACATTGAAACACTGAAAAGCTGCAGCTCTCCCTCCACTGGACAGAGAAACCATGAGAGACCAAGACAGGAAACAAAATCCTAAACATTTCTCCATGCATACATAAAGCTCCAACATGACATTTTAACTAAGAAAGAAAATGCAATAACAGGACCAAAATCTAAGCATACAGAGTGAACAAAATCCTACATCTAGTTCCTTCACTTCCCAATAGATTTGATGATATTTTTATGTTTTGTTCCAAAGTCCTTTGTTAAATATTGACAAAACCCAGGTTACCAAAACTGCAAAACAAACCAATTTTGCTAAGAATATAGTAAAAAATATAAAATAAAAAAATACTAACAAGATTAAAATTTACCACTGTTTCCTTCTGTCCCTCTGAATGAGATCCTCTCCTCTTGCTGCTCTTCCCCAAACTGACCCGGCTAACCTGTCGCTAATGTTGTATAGCTGGTCTTCAAAGAGCAGGTATAATTTAAATTTCATTTATTCAATATAGGGAACATGTTCCAGAAACAAAACTGTGCACACGAGGAAACAGTGGATGAACGAACCTCTGTTATTTTTAATATATGTAAATAAACACATGAAAAACTTGACAGACTTCATTCAGTCTCACATACTGGTGAGGATTCATCTGGACTCATTATGACACTGTCAATTATAGCTGGTACCAAGGTGATAATTTGCATTTTAAGTAACATCCATGTTGTTTTGTAATCTCATTATATAGAATCATGTATACATATATGTCTATATGAATGATTGTTTTCAAATCACCCATGCGCCTTATAATCTTTGCGTAGTTTGATGAGGATCTAACTGAATCCAATCGATGGATAAATTAATCTCCCACTGAATCTTTCATTTCAAAACTACAGAAACATTTATTAAAGTTAAAAGTCGTCATTATTTGTGATTTAAGGAAATAAAATATCAAAATGGTGACAGAAATCAATCAAATACAGAAGAAAAGGAATATTGGAAAGACATGTCAATATGTGAGTAAACACAGGAGATTTATGGGAAGTTAATATATTTATATAACTGGAGAGACATTCACACACTGACACACACATGAGTGTAACTTGAGGTGAGGTGCCTTGCTCAGGGTAAGGAACTTGACATGGGGAAAGATGAAGCTGGAGTCAAACCCACAACTTCTGATTGTAAGATGACTCCTGATGAAAAACTAATGGTGATATTCTGAAAGTACTTGACAAAGTTATTAATAACTTAAAGAGCAGTGCCATGTAAACGTATAATTAGATAATATTAAAGCAGCTAAACATTAAAAACAAAACATATGAATGACAGGAATCAGAATCAGACGTTATTGTCATTGAACACAATGAAGCTGGTTTCAGTTCAGTCAATCCACAGAACAACAAACAATCTCATCTGCAGAATAAGTGATAATATGTGGCACATGCATGTTACTGAAACAATATCAAGATTTATGGAAAAACCTGAGAGCCAATGAAAGAAAATATGTTATTGTCTCCCAGGAGGAAAATAAACTTACAGTAAAACATTTAATAAGATCCACAAACCTAAAAGTGAAAAATGAAAAAGCAGAGAGGATTTTACTTTTTAGAACAAATGAAGTTAAATTCCTCAAGGTCATTTTTCTTCCTCCACTGATGTTTCCCTCCCGTCACCATGGCACCAGACATGTCACAGTCGTCCATCTGTCCATCTGAAGCCCAGTTCTTATAGCTGACCACTTCATCACTGACCCAGAACCAGAAATCCAGAGTGCAGGTGTAGCGCAGACCCATCCAGACATAACCAGTCGATGCCTTCTTGACTTTCTCCTGGATCCATATCTGATCGTCCATGTTGGTGATGGTGACCAGGTCATGGTGGTGATCTCTGCAGTAGTACAAGGCGTCCTCCCAGTTCATCTTCTCTTTGATCAGGATCACTTTATCTAAAGAAAGAAGCAATAAAAACACTAAATCAATGCAACAGCAGCTTGATTTATGCCATTGTTAACAACCTGGGCAACAAAAATTATTCACAGGTTCAAATTATATCATATTTCAAAATGTTTTATGCAATTTATGTGTAAATGGAACAATATCCTTCTATGAATTTGGTGTCTATATGACAGAAATACTTACGCATTGTAATAAGGATTTTTTTTCTTCACACATATTTAGTTATGTTTGAAGACTTTGTGTTATTGAAGCAAAAACTCACCATCATAACAGATGAAGGGTTTTTTTTCATCACATTTCTCATTCTTCCATCTGCCTCCATCATCAAACACAGTCATGGCGCATTGACCACTATTGATTATCTCATTGGTAAACTGTAGATTCCAGTGTCTGAAAGAGAAACTGCTTCCATCTGACCACCTCCAGGTGTCTCTGAACAGACCAAAGTATGCTTGATTATCTGAAGAGTTCATCAATTTCTTCACTTCTTCATCCTGTAGTTGCTTCGTTCCACTGATCAGGTCTGTGTGTTTCTCTCTGCAGTAATTCTGAGCTTCCAGCCAGGACTTCTTCTCTCTAATCAGGTGATATTTATGGGTTTTATTAGTTTCTGTGGAGTGAACAGATAAAAGCACATCATAATTAATAAATCTTTTTCAGGATAAGTTTAAAATCAGGCTCACTGGCAAATGCATTGAAGCTACAGTTCCTGTTATTTGAGAGTGAAATTGCTACTTCCTTTTTTTATAACATGTTTTATCCAAATACTTTTATTGGACAATCTAACGAGTTTATATTTATACTCACCATCATAGCAGAGGAAATATTCAGACCACTGGCAACCCTGATCGATCCATTTAAGATTTTGATTCACAATCCCACAGTTCTCAGGGCTTTGGTTTCCTCTATCAGTCGGTTCTCCTGAGTTCCAGTTTGTCTCACTTTCATTGAACTCCAGTCCAGGCAGAGACCAGTACCATTCTGGTACCAGGTGTTTGATCATGCAGACCAATCCAAGCTTCCTTTTTATCTCCATCTGAGATGTTGATGAGTCTCTTCATGTTCTTCATGTTAGTCACTGTGACCAGGTCAGTGTGTTTCTCTCTGCAGTACTGCTGAGCTTCAGTCCAGGTTTTATTCTCTTTAATGTAGTGAAACTCAGAGCTGACAGTCAATGAAGCAACACTGAGCTGTGAAGATAAGACATATTTTTGTATTTATTATGACTTAAAATTTTCATCACAGTTTGCAGTATTGAGTATTCTTGTTCTACTTTTTTATGAAAGAAAAATAAATTATTTAATTCAAACTGGGTAGTGATATGGACTGAAAGTTTCATCATGATTTTTTGTGGTTTGCTCTCACAATGTCAAAGATGAAGTTGATTCTTTCTAATTCAGGAACTACAAACACAGATACTAATTTTAAAAGCATAACCATTTGCAATGGTGTCTTTAGGACACCCATCACTTAATTCAACTCAAATTCAAAAAATTTAAAGGGAAATTAAATAATCAAAAGAAGAAGAAAAAAAAATATAATTTGTATTACTAAGCTGTTTGAACAAACAGTGAAGGAAATACTAAACTTCTTCAGTCTGGTGAGTTTTAAAAATCATTCAATGAAACTTAAGAAATTCATCATGACAAATGATAAACGATGCGATAAATACCCAACCCTTGTAGAAACCAGAGAGTCTAGTTGTGTTTCAGATCAACTTACCCATCAGGAAGAGCAGAATCAGACTCCACTGCATCTTTGCTGTCAGATGAATTATTTTCCTCCAGCAGTTTGTCTCTGTTGGATGAAGAACATTGAAACAGTGAAAAGCTGCAGCTCTCCCTCCACTGGACAGAGAAACACGAAAGCCCTTTTCTTAAATTATAAATACTATTCAACATGTTCTACATGACTAATAAAATATTTCTCTTGTTTCATAATTAAAAGCAAAGCGCAGACAAAGAGTTGTGACTTACGTCTTGCTGTTTGCCTCCTGCCTCGTCTCGCCAGAAGATGTTCTGAGTAAAATTACATCTCTGTTGTGACAAACACAGCTCTGTTATAGACTTTAAATTTGGACATATTTGGATATTCAAACTAAAGGTGGGAGCAGGCGGTGGAGGCATTCTGCTTATGAAAGAATTCTTAGAATTCATAGGAGGGGAAGTTGAGATGGAAAAACCCCAAATTCTATAACAAATGACGTTTTGACGAACCGGTGCACAGAAACATTTTACTATTTGACAGCGATATTAGATCTTTACACCCCATGTTCCTACAAAGTTATTAAATGGAAACTCAAGGCAAAAAGTTTACAACTAAGAGTGAAACTGTATTTGGTAAAATAACTAACTATAAAAAATGATATTGAAAAATATTGTCTAAAAAAATATTCTTCAGCAAATAGAAATTATTTTTGGCAATTCTATGCAAACTAACCAGACCAAGAGAAGCTTGGTCTGGTTTCACATTGATATACATATTTGCACATAAATCCATCTACATAAACACTGGATCGCAAAAGTATTCACACCCCTTGAACCTTTCCATATTTTGTCACATGACAACCAGAAACGAAAATAGATTTCACTAGAATTTTATGGGAAAGGCCGACACAAAGTGGTGTAGATGGGTGAAGTGGACACAAGAAGGAAAGAAGAAAGGAGGCAAAGAGAGAAGGAAGGAAGGAAGGAAAGAAAGACAATATTGGGAAGCAAACACCAGCCATGTCAGGGAGAAACATGTGGAGAAGTTTAAAGCAAGCTCAGGCTATAAAAAGATTTCCTGAGCTTTGAACGGAGCTCTGTTCAGATCATCATCCAGAAACTGAAAGAGTGCAGCACAACTGTAAGCCGGCCTAGACGAGGCCGTCCAGCCAAACTTCCAGGCTGAACGTCTCTAATCAGAGCCCTGATTAGAGATGCAGCCAAGAGGTTCATGGTGACTCTGGACCAGATGCAGAGATCCACAGCTAAGGTGGAAGGAATCTGTTCACGGGAAAACTTTTAGTCATGCAATGCACAAACTGCGTTGTTTATGGACGAGTGGCAAGAAGAAAAGCTTCGTTTAGAAAAAAAACAAACAAAAGAAAAACATAAGAAGTCCCAGAGCCCATGTTGGACGCAGCAAACGTGCGGAAGGAAGAGATTTTGTATGACCAGAACAAACTGAAATCTTTAGCCAAAATCCAAACCACTGGACATCTCTGAACACACCATCCCCACTGTCAAACACGGTAGTGGCAGCGTCATGCTCTGAGATTGCCTGTCTTCAGCAGGGACAGGGAAGATGAACAGAGTTGACGGGAGAATGGATGGAGCTGAGTCCAGGAAGCAAACCTTGTGGGCTGTTAAACTCAGCCACTCGACACGCAAAGCTGGAAGAGACAAACAGTAAAAGACTCACAGCTAAAGGTGGTTCTACAAAATACTGACCCGGGCAAGCTGAACACTTTTGCACACCGCACCTTTCAGTTTACTACTTGTGAAAAATGTTTTGAGCCATTCAACAGTTTTTGTTTTTGTTCCACTTCACAATCCACTTTGTGACGGATCTTTATCATAAAATTCCAGTGAAACATATTTATGTTAGTGGATTTACTGTGACAGAATGTGGAAAAAGTTCAAGGGGAATCAATACTCTAACGTGTCACTTAGTGGCATCGACTCATTTGAAACTGATCATAACTCAGTCTCATCAAAATGACCAATTTAACTGTATTAAGTAGATTGAATAAGGGTTTTTTTTGGAGTTCACTCTGAATCTCCTTTTGTTTTGTCCACTTTCAGAAGAGGCTCCAATTGTTTGACTTCCTCCCAAACTTTGGCTCATATTTGCCAAGAATGTGTCCCCCTGCTGCGATAACACCTGGAAATTTATGAGTGGAGCCCATAGCTTTAGAGAGACTCAGCACTTATAGCTTTGTCTTTTCAAGAGCATGGCAATAAATAAATAAATAAATAAATGAAACGTAAATTTAAAAAAAAAAGCCAAGGTGACTCATTTTTCACTCGTTCATTTTGATTTTTGTTTTCTCTTGTTATAGTTTAGGAAAAGTTGATAAATATGAAGCTTAATTTCTCTCACGACTGTAACGCTCTTGGCACACTTTTCAAATCCTCCTGCTAAATTCTTAGGGTTCTGGATCAGGGTACAGTTCTGCTGCCTGAAACTTTTTCTGAAAACATATTGAGACTCTTCTGTTCAGCCAGAATCTTCTTCCATCTGCGGATCAAGTTTTACTTCTGTCATTTCTCTAAAAATGAGTGAATATTTTCAATCAATCCAGGCAGTCAAATCCAAAAAATCAGACTTTAAATCTAACTCAACACTGGATTTAGCTGGAAAATAATCTTTTAATTTCAGCGTGTTTCAGTTTACTGGAAGCAACTCTCACGATTTGATTCGGCTCATGAAGATTTCGTTTACATAGAGTATCTTTGCAGGGATTTGAAGGTCAGTGTGAAGACCAGAAGGGCATCAAATCACAAATACCAAAGAAAAATCGTTAAATCACCGATTGAAACATTTAAAAAGATGCTCAGCAGTTGTTACAAGTATTTGATGGGTTGGATTTCCATTATGAGTGGAAAGCGTATGAAAAGCTTGTGGCAGGAATTACATTTTTTGTTTTTAAATTAAAGTCAAACTTTATTTGTAATGTAATTTACATGCAGTCTGAAGTAACACAAAGTGATTCACAGAGGTTGAAAACACAAGGACAAAATGACCAGATGAAATTACCATAAAGTTAAAACTTATCTTTTATTGTGATGTAAAAAATGGTGACAGAAATCAATCAATTACAAAAGAAAAGGAATATTGGAAAGACATTAATGTCAATATGTGAGTAAACATAGGAGATTTATGGGAAGTTAAGATATTTATATAACTGGAGAGACGTTCACACACTGACACACACATGAGTGTAACTTGGGGTGAGGTGCCTTGCTCAGGGTAAGGAACTTGACATGGGGAAAGATGAAGCTGGAGTCGAACCCACAACTTCTGATTGTAAGATGACTCCTGATGAAAAACTAATGGTGATATTCTGAAAGTACTTGACAAAATTATTAATAACTTAAAGAGCAGTGCCATGTAAACATATAATTAGATAATATTAAAGCAGCTAAACATTAAAAACTAAACATATGAATGACAGGAATCAGAATCAGGCATTATTGACATTGAACACAGTGAAGCTGGTTTCAGTTCAGTCAATCCACAGAACAAACAATCTCATCTGCAGAATAAGTGATAAATGTGACACATGCATGTTACTGAAACAATATCAAGATTTATGGAAAAACCTGAGAGCCAATGAAAGAAAATATGTTATTGTCTCCCAGGAGGAAAATAAACTTACAGTAAAACATTTAATAAGATCCACAAACCTAAAAGTGAAAAAAGTAGAAACAGAGAGGATTTTACTTTTTAGAACAAATGAAATTAAATTCCTCAAGGTCATTTTTCTTCCTCCACTGATGTTTCCCTCCCGTCTTCATGGCACCAGACATGTCACAGTCGTCCATCTGTCCATCTGAAGCCCAGTTCTCAAAGCTGACCACCTCGTCACTGACCCAGAACCAGAAATCCAGAGTCGGGGCGTAATATAGACCCATCCAGACAAAAGGAGTCGATGCATTCTTGACTTTCTCCTGGATCCATATCTGATCATCCATGTTGGTGATGGTGACCAGGTCATGGTGGTGATTTCTGCAGTAGGTCAAGGCGTCCTCCCAGGTTTTATTTTTTTTTATCAGGATCACTTTATTTGTCATGGTTGTGAGGAGAAAATAGTTAATAGAATAAATGTATCTACATCAACAATCAATAAAAACACTAAATCACTGCAACAGCAGCTTCATTTATGTCAAGACACAGAACGTGGGCAACAAGAACGATGTAAAAGGTCCAAAATGTTTAATATTTCAAAATGATTTTTGTTTTGTGATTTATGTGTAAATTAAACTACTTCATTAAATAGATTTGGTATCTATGTGACTGAAATACTTAGACATTACATTGAGGCTATTTTTCATTCAAATTCTGTTACATTTGTGTTACTGCAGCAAAACTCACCATCTGAATAACAGATGAAGGGTTTTTTCTCATCACAGTTCTCATTCTTCCATCTGCCTCCATCATCAAACACAGTCAAGGCGCATTGACCACTATTGATTATCTGATTGTAAAACTGTAGATTCCAGTGTCTGAAGGAGGAGCTGTTTCCATCTGACCACCTCCAGGTGTCTCTGAACAGACCAAAGTATGCTTTATTATCTGAAGAGTTAATCAATTTCTTCACTTCTTCATCCTGTAGTTGCTTCATTCCACTGATCAGGTCTGTGTGTTTCTCTCTGCAGTAACTTTGAGCTTCCAGCCAGGACTTCAACTCTCTAATCAGGTGATATTTATGGGTTTTATTAGTTTCTGTGGAGTGAACAGTGAACAGATATCATAATTTATAAATCTTTTTCATGATAAGTATAAAATCAGGCTCACTGGCAAATGCATTGAAGCTACAGTTCCTGTTATTTGAGAGTGAAATTGCTACTTCCTCTTTTTATAACATGTTTTAACCAGATACTTTTATTGGACAATCTAACGAGTTTATATTTATACTCACCATCATAGCAGAGGAAATATTCAGACCACTTGCAACCCTGATCGCGCCATTTAAGATTTTGATATACAGCTCCACAGTTCTCAGATCCTTGGTTTTCTCTATCAGTCGGTTCTCCATTGTCCCAGTTTGTCTCACTTTCATTGAACTCCAGTCCAGTAAGAGACCAGTACCATGTTCTGGTACCATTTGTTTGATCATACAGACCAATCCAAGCTTCCTTTTTATCTCCATCTGAGATGTTGATGAGTCTCTTCATGTTCTTCATGTTAGTCACTGTGACCAGGTCAGTGTGTTTCTCTCTGCAGTACTGCTGAGCTTCAGTCCAGGTTTTATTCTCTTTAATGTAGTGAAACTCATAGAGCTGACAGTCAATGAAGCAACACTGAGCTGAAAACATGGTGGTATTAAATTATGAGGATTTCATCAATACACAATATGGAAAGTTTCAATATAATGTGATTAGAAAATGTATTGAAGTTCCTGTTTGATAGTAAAAAGATAACTCTCTTTCCATTGTGTTTCAGATCAACTCACCCATCAGGAAGAGCAGAATCAGACTCCACTGCATCTTTGCTGTCAGATGAATTATTTTCCTCCAGCAGTTTGTCTCTGTTGGATGAAGAACATTGAAACACTGAAAAGCTGCAGCTCTCCCTCCACTGGACAGAGAAACCATGAGAGACCAAGACAGACAGACAAAAATGACTGATCATGAATTCAAAAGTGAAGTTAGTCTTGTACCAAATGCTAAACTCAGACAGAGACTTGTCATTTCCATTTGCTTCCTTTTCTTTCTGTCTTGTTTTGCCTAAAACGTTTCTCAGTAAATTTTTTATTTCCTTTCATAACAAGCAGAGATCCTCTAACACAGCTCTGTTATTGAATATACATTTGAATATCATTATTTGGATATGCAAATCAAGGGTGAGGTGGAGTCGTTCTATTTATGAAAGAAATCATTTCCAATCCATGCAAAGTTTACAATGTGAAAAAAAATCAACTTCTATGATCAGGATCCTGATGAAAACACAGAGTATTGACTAAATAAAGCACAGATATTTATTAAAGCTCCTCTATTTGACAGAAATAACTGACTATTAATATCTTTACATCACATGATCTGAGGCATAAACTGGATACAAAGTGGAGCAACTAAAAGTTGATTCACTGAGATGATAGTTTTATGATTTTTCATAATGTTTCTCAATCTAAAGTAAAACAATAAAATACTCGAGTAAAAGTTAAAAATATTTGGTAAAACAACTACTCAACACAAGAAAAGGATTTAATTTGTGAAAATCTATCCAGTCTAACAATATAGAGTTATGTGTAAATTCTGGAAATTTGAAGAATATAATATTGGAGTAAAACATTAATAACATCATTTAAAAATAGATTGCAGAAGAAAGACACATTTTCCAGTCACATTTATATATCTATATATTGCTGACAATATATTTGGGATAAAATAAATTATATGTGATGAGATTAAGAGATAGAAACAGGCATTTGTATAAAACTTACACGTTTCATTTTCCCCCTCAGTGAATGAGATGTTTCTCCTCTCGATGCTCTGCTGAAACTGTCCCAGGTGAACTGCTGTTCTCTAAACAGCCGCTGAATTTTATCATTTCATTATTTACATATTCAAAACATATTTCACAAGAAAACATTGAGCTGATAACAGGAAGGACGAATATAGGACTAAAACGAACCAACCTCCATATTCTGGGAACCTGGTTGATAATCCAGAGGAACATTAATAGTCATTATGGTGAATTACTAGTGAGGCTCTGCTGCACATTGATAATAAAACCATTGTTTATTATCGTTCAAACCTTTCAGTTTCTTATTGTCCGTCTAATAAAAATGTTGCAGACAGCTCAAAGGACAAACTGATGATAATGATAACAGTTTTTGTGAGTTTTGTTGGGTTGAGTCATTGTCTGTCTGTAAGTTTCATAATTGGAGAGAAAAAGACACTTCCTGGTTTCTCACACATTGCAGCCACATACAGATTGACATTAACTGAGTTTCCAATCACAATAGAACTGAGCAAATTTAAATGACAAAAGTAAATTTGGTTTATGGAAACATGGCAATTTCCAGAAAGCTCACGTTTTTCAATGAAAGGTTTTTGCTGGTGGTTGCCGTGGTGATTATGCAGTATGGAAATGAAAAAAAAATCCAATGGAAAAAAATTTTTTCCCATCATGCAAGTCGCATGATCAACAATCGGATGTTGCTACTGGCAGAAATGATGAAGAAGACGACAGGAAGTGCTGGTAGCACAATGGTTTGTTTTTGTCTTCTTGTTTACTGTATATCAACAAAACATTTTTTATTTATTTATTTTTTGACAAATGGGGTTCACTTAACAGCGACTGTTTCTGTGTTTTGGGGACCCAGCATTTGGGTCTTGCTCTGCACTGTGGTTGACACGTTTCTGATGTGCTTGTAATTAAACGATGTTCTGATTTTTATAGTGATTCTGTTTTAGTATTGTTTGGTTCTTTGGTTGCATGTGTAACACAAACCAAGACAGAAGATTCGCTACAGATCAATCATGAGAACGGGAACACAGAGAGGTGAACTGAGGTGAAAATGTTTGCATCATCACATCACAGGCCAACAAGATGAGCAAGTGTGCAAATGTCACTTCGTTAGAAAGAGGAACTGAAGTATTTTGTAGTAAACTTTTGGATTATTAGATTAAAACTGGTATGTGAAGGTGAGATCTGTCCAGGTTGATGCAGAAAACAGATCAAGAAAGTCCTGAGAGACTGAAGTAATCTTGTATGTTGATTCACTGTTGATTATGAAAAAGTGTATTATGTTGATGTATTAATGATTATAAAGTGAGTAAATTCTGAAGTTGATTATTGATGATTATATAAAACAGTTGAATCACAAGTTGTAAGTACTATAATCTTATTTGATTATTAAAACTAATGACTTTCAACCAGTTATGGTTTGAGAAATGTATTATAAAAATGACTGTTTTGATGATTTATGGTAATCGTGTAGCATATAAAGAACTGAAATCACATAATAAAAGAATAGGGACAGTGGGTGCAGAGGCAAGCCCTGGACATGTCTTGAGGATGGGGTTGCCTGGTCTTGTACCAAATTAGGAAATCCGAGAGCCAAGCCAAGGATTTGAAATAAACAAATAAAGCAGAAGTGGACAGGGCGTCGACCAAATATGGGAAAGTATGGGACCTTCGAAGAGGTAATCAAATGCTTGAGAAGTCACATATACCATCTCCCCAAACACAACAGCTAGGGGAAAGAGTATAAATAAACGGAGAAGCAGAGAGCTGTGGTTCTTTGTCTCTGGCGGATCCAGCAGGCAGCAGCAGGCCAATGGACTAGCAAGAAGCCGCGCCGTGGAACCAGAGGGAAGTCAAGCCTTCGCACCGCTGAAAGGGAGACGGGACCCGACACCCAACAGCTCTGGCTGCTGATTTGATCGTGGCTTCGCACTCAACCCAAAAGATCTCAAGAATGCTGCAGCGGACTCGGGAATCGGACAAAGGCCACAAAGAGTGATGAAGATTGGGATGTTTGGAAGATAACAGCCAACTTTGCTTTGTTCCTATTCGAAGGAGGATTTGTCTTACTAAGACAAGACTCTGTCCAAGGATATTCAAGTCTTCTGTTGCCGAGATTCTGTACCACCTGGGTATGAGTCTGCCTGCACCCCAAAGCCTTTTTTAGTCAATTGATGGCACAGTTTAGGGAAAGAAGTCAGGATAGGTTTGTGATTGATCTTAATTAAACTTTTTGTTGTTCTTACATATTTACAATCATTGATTATTAAACCAGTTCTCATTTACTCCTGCTCAAAGCTTGCTTAAATAAATATATATATCAAAATTCTAATGAATTTTGTGGAGATTGAAATTAATTGAGTCATTTTATTGGTTATGGTTCTTCTACTTCATGTAAAATCTATGTACATGATTCTAGAAATGTGGTGGCTCCAGATTTTCCTTTAGTTGATATACAGATAATGACCCTGGGACTCACAAAGTCGCTAAAACTAATCTAGCCGTTAGCAAGTGTGGTTATTCTTAGAGAGAGGGCGACCGTTAACAGTTAACAGTTGTGAGGGCGACTCAACTGATTGCTTCTTTACTGAAAAGGGTCATAACTTCTGGATTGTAGGTAGTTAGAGCTAAACCAGTATTTCTCAACCAGCTTAGACAGATTGTCCCTCACAGCCTCATTGCAGGGTAATATCAGGTTCTAGGGACTTTCTGGACCCGTTAGACGGAGAGCTGGTCAGTAGTCAGCCCAGAGGAGTTGTGTGGGTTAGGGCGGGGCTGGCTATTGCGTAATAAGAAACAGATGTTAAATTGATGAAGACTAACATGACACTGAACACATTTTCAGTATAAACTGATTGTTGCTCAAACAGCATCTCTTCTTTTCTCTGTTATTCTTCCACAATACATTTTTCTGCTGGGAAACCAGGGAATAAAAACCTGCTGTGTTTTTTCCTTCCACACCAGAAAAAACCTCAAAACATTTTGTGGTTTTCTGTTTATGTTGTCATGGTGACACTTTCATACAGAACTTGGAAAAAAATCTTTATTTACATCAAATTTTTATACCAAGTTCAGTTTATTTTTTTTAATTTTTTTGCATTGGTGAACGCGATGAACAGAGTTAAAAACAGGAGGCATCTCAGGAGACGTTAGAAAAATAGTTTATTATTATTATTATTATTAATAATAATAATTATTATTATGATTAATTAATCATAAGTAATAATTATTATTAATAATAATAATAATTATGATTAATTAATCATAAGTAATAATTATTATTAATAATAATGAGTTTATTACAATAAACGTATTATTATAAATAATAATATTATAATATCATATATAATATTATTATTAATAATTATTATTAATAATATAATAATATTAATGAAAATTATTATTATTATTATTATTATTATTATTATTATGACAACAATAATAATAGTAGTAGTAGTAATAATAATAATAATAATAATAATAATAATAATAATAATAATAATAATAATAATAATAATAATAATAATAATAATAATAATAATAATAATAATAATAATAATCCAAAGACTTTTAAAGGACAAAATAGTCTGAGCTCATAAAAGAGGTTCAAAGAAACAAAAACTGTACTGAAAAAAAGCAAACTGGTCAATTATAACTTTAATTAAACTTCAGCTTTAATAACATAAAGCTACATTATTTTTAAAGTTAATTTTGAAACAAATTTATGTCAGATAATGATTTCTTGGTTGTCAAGTTGTCATAGCGACGACATTTTGAATCATATCAACTTTGTATGAAAGTGTCATGATTTACTGAATGACACTTTATGACAACAATCATAAATATTCATGAAGACTTATTCATGTTCATGGCAGGTGTTATGACAGTCTTATTCGCAACCCGTCAAATAAAATGTTACCAACTTTTCTGAACAAAGAAAAAACAAATTCCCCCTGCCAGCAGGAACTAGTGGTGTCGTCCAATCAGCATGCAAGCCTGCTGAGCCCTGACCAACGTCTTTGGTCTGGCAACTCCAAGGCAGGTAAGAACCGGCAAGAAACAACAAGAGTTTGTCTTACAACAAAATTAACGTTAACTTGATATAAATACATATGTTAACTAAATGTGCACGCTAACAAATAGAACAAATGGCATTTTGCCAGAATACCAACCCAGTTATGGATAACTACAGTCCAGTCAACTATCCTGACTGAAGAAAATGTTTTGTCCATTTTTTTCTGCTCAGATTAGATTTGTTTTTTTGTTTTGTTTTGGGATTTTTTTGGGCTGAATTAAAATGAGTTTATTTCACAAAACTCCAATGGAAACTCTGTTTTCCTTTCACACGAATCATATGATCAACAAGCAAATGTTACTACTGGTGGAAATGACGAATAAAACGAAAGGAAGTGTACATAGCTCTCTGATCTCGGCCGGGGGACCAGGGGACGGCTCCCAGGGTTGGGCCCCGTCCCAGGGAGTTCCCAGGAAATGCCCAGCCTGGTGCCAGTTGCCTGGCCAATCTCCAGTGAGCGTCCTTCTGGGTACACTGTTCCCAGATCCTGTATCTTGTCCAGGACTTCCATTTTGTCACCTAACCTTACGTTAGATATGTGCTCTTCAGTCTTCGTGTCTGAAAAAAGAACGACGGAAAGGAAAACGTATGGATGTGGGTGAGAAAGATGATGAAGATGTCATGCTGACCTTGAAAACAAGTAAGGCCCAGGGGATGTGCCCTTTGTCATAGTGTGGGAGCAGCACCATTTTGGGACTTTGTGTCTGAAGAGCACATACCTAACGTAAGGTGATGGAAGTGGAGAAAGAAATGAAACAATCACAGGCTGTGATTGAAACATGTAACCTCCTCTAAAGAGGCCTCTAAAGAGGCGGTTACATGTTAAACATTCATTTGAAGTCATCTCTGTGGTTTCCAGGCAGCCAACAATTGCCTCTAATAAGCTAAAGTACCTCTCTTCATTTAGTATTTCTTGAATCACGTCAAACTTTTCATGGTGACTCCATTCATGAGCGAGATGCATACCTTCTCCACAGTG